ATATCTTTGGGAAATAAAGAACAACTGTTTCCAATTTCTCTAAAATTGATATGTCTCAATTGTTATATTAGAAATGTCCTTAATCCAGTAATCTGTCATGTTTTACATTAGAATGGGATTAACCAGAAATTCTACCCTCTCATCTTCGCAGGACGTCTTTATTTGTGTGCCCTGCTATCAGCCAGTTTCCATCCTCTTATATCAGCAATGAAAAATTAAAAATAAACTACGTGTTGGAAATCTGTGTTTGATGACTGACGTTTATTTCTGTCAGGCTGAAGGGACAAAAGTTGGAGAAATACTGATTCTCTTGGCAGGTAAAAAAAACACAAAACAGCGTAAGCAGACCCCGTTAATGTATTTATTTTACAAATTTGTCGAAAGAGCAACCGATTAAACTGAATGTTACAAAGCTGACATGATTATATGAGCTGTTTTCACTGAGAAATGATCAGGAGCGCCTTGAAAATGGTCAGATCCGCCTCTCTGGCTGCGATACGCGCTCCCAACACCGGGGGGACAGAAAGAGAATTTCACACAACACCAGTTCAGCCTCGGAGTTTAGTTCCCGCCCTTTCCGGTTGAATTCCTCAAAGGATAACTTGTTTTGGGACTTGTAAAAGTGTTTCGAATGTTTTTTATTTGTTTTCTTAAAATGCTATTTGTTTTGAATTTTTAAAAGTGTTTATTTTATTTTTATTTATTTATTTTTTTATGTAAATTTGTTTTCTGAAATGATAAATTGTTTTGGAACTTTTTAGGAAAAGTTTTTTTTTTGTAATGTTGGTTTGCACCTCCTGGCCACCGTACATACCCACCGAATAAAAATCGGTTGAAAAGACGACATGACTTACGTCCAAACGACATCTGAAAAATGAAAGTTGAAAAGACGTAATCATTTGCATCGTCTGCTCAACGTCTATGATTGGACTAAACTGGGAGAAAATCAGACTGACAAACATTCCAATATCCAACGACTATTTCTGGACTAAATCAAGACTATGATGGTAATCTGTCAGACCAGCATCCCCATAGTCAACACCTGTTTATCCATTTAGTTTTGTAAGAAAAATACAGTCTAAACTACCCGAACGGGCGTGCATCCCTTTATTCATGTCTAAAAATGCTATTTAATTACTTACTTTTTGCTGTTTTTTGAAGCATATGGCGAGCTGACCTTAAAATGTTTGTTTTTTTGTGCATGACTAAAGGGATACACGCCAGTTGAGGTAGATTAAAATGCATTTTTCGTACAAAACTAAAAGGTTAAA